TAGGCAAGTTTGTGCAATGACAAAATTTACATTTTTGTCAAATTAGTCCTTCTAGCAATATTATTGCATGTGATAATACTGCTTGAGAGGCCATTCAGCATGACTGAAGTCTATCTTATCTTATTAATCACATATTAATTTCTCATCTCTCCTCTACTCTTGTTTTTTTTAAAGCAAAATTTCAGGCAAAAATGTTCTTAACCCTTGTAGTAGGGCTACCTCCGCACTGCATGGGTTAAGTGCTAATTTTTGTCTAAAGTTATACTTACCTGATTGTTGGACCCAACTTGCTCTTAGATCGGTACCTGGAGCAGTCTCTCCCCCTCCACTGCAGCAGTTTAAAGCTCATTGAGTCATCATGTTCTATACACAGTGTAGGTTGTACCTTTGCTGCAGTGAAGGAGGAGACAGGTTTCAGTGACTTGAGTAACAGCCTATGTCACCAGCACACCAGTCCTTTTAGGATTGCAAAAGTTTCATGTATTGTTTGACACAGAACTTCAATAAATTAAGCTTTTGCTACCCTAAAAGGACTGGTGTGCTGGTGACATTTCTACAATTGGCTGATATTTGCAGCGCCATCTGCAGTCACTGCGAGCACCCTCCACTACAAGAGACTTTTCGGTAAGGAGTGCAACAAGGATAGTATTTATTGAGTAACAGCCAGCCGGCTCTGTGGTTCAGATGAGTATAACTTTTTATTTAGCACCTAGACATAAACCAACACTTGACCCTTGCAGTCCAGGGGTAGCCCCACAGCAAGGGTTACGAAAATTTTTGCCCGGAAATCTGCTTCAAGCCTTGAGCTTGCAGAAAAATATTGCTCTAATCCTTATAAGAGTCATATGTACAATGCATAGCAAAAAAAGGCAATGCACTTATAAACTAATTCAAAACCCTCTGAAAATATCTTGCTATAATATAAATTATGACTTATAATAATACATACCAGAGAGAATATAATGTGAATTTGACATTTCTAAAAAGCCTCCAGAATTCAACTTGCCATTTTTGTTTTTAATAGGAATTCTCTATGTTAGGAGATGGCAATGATAAACAGTTTCCTGCTGTTTCCACAAAGTTCAAACATTTTAGAAAAACCTCAGATAGTGCTGCAGCCTCACAGTGTGCCATCAAGCTCTGTCCCTCTGTAGATCCTGTGATCAGGTCCGAAATGTCCTTTTCTTTTACTGCTCTTTTCTCTTGCTTGCATTTAATATATATTCTTTCTACTTTTTCTCTTTCTCTAGTGATGACAAAAACATTTCCCATGTTTTTGTCATCACTAGCCTTCTGAGGCTTCTCAGCACCCCTACTTCTTTCTAAATCCTCTGAGAGACAAATCCAATTATCCTATGTATTTCTATTGACTGGACTTCAGCAGCTGTCACATCTCTGACAAATGTAGTTAAATTCACAAAAATTTGATCTTTGATGCTTGCATCCACTATTCATCACTGTCCTGGTCCTCAATAAACACCTTACTGATTCAATGTTACTTAAAGCAATGATTCCCAACCTGTGTAATCTCAAGACCCACATTTGTCCTTGGTCATTAAGTCGCTACCCCAAATTGCACTGCAATGGAACGCATGGCATTGCGGACTAGCGCGTTTCGATGCTGGAAATCAAAGTGTGGGTGGGAGGTGGTTTTGGGGTGACATTCAGATGAATGGCAACGCAACACAACTCACGCATCAGAATGCACGGTAGGTGCGATTGCATGGTACCGTGCGTTAATTGCACAGGACTTTACGATTACCGCACTGTACTAGTGTGAACGGACCCTCAAAAACACTGACAGACACAATCTCACACACTCACAAACACAATCTCACAGAAAATCTCACACACACACACATACAGACTCCAAAAAAATGTAATATTATTTAAGATCCACCCAGTCTCACGATAACTGGAGTGGATCCTCAGGCTGGGGTCCAGTGTGGGCTGCCTTGCTGTGATGGAGCTCCCTTGCATGCCCTGTAGGGGTGCCAGGAGTCAGAATGTGACATCACTCCGGTCCAGGGCACGCAAGGGAGCACATATGGGTGTAGCTACCTCGCGGCCATGGTACCCCACCTCAAGCTGACACTCAGCACTGGGCATCATATTTTGAATGGCTGCTGGAACTGACAGTGCTGCACTAGGAGGAGGCTTAGGAGCCTCTCACCTAGAAAACTAGAAGGCATGCGGTGACCCACTGAGCACAGGGTTGCGACCCACTTTTAGGTCACGACCCACTAATTGAGAACCAAGAACCTAAAGCATACTGTATATCAAGGAAAAGTAAAAACAAAACACAATGCATATGCAGTACTGCTCTGCAATACAAGCACATTTCCCTATATTTTATCCCAGGTTAAAATTGTATTAACCCTTGCAGTGGGGCTACCTCCGCATTGCAAAAGTTAAGTGCTCGTTTTTGTCAAGGGCCAACAATAAAACAGTTATACTTACCTGATTCTCTAAGCTGTCTGGCTCTTAGACTGGTGCATAGAGCCTCTCTCCCCCTCCTAAGGTCCCTGAGTGGTCTAAGGTCCCTGAGTGGTCTAAGGTCCCTAAATCATCATATTCTATATACAGTTTATAGGACATGATCATGCCAAGAGACATACCATCACTGCAGCGTAGGAGAAGACATGCTGGAGGGAGTGCTGTCTCAGCTGGCGGGCTTGGAGGACCGGGTGAGTATAACCTCGAAAAAAAACGAGCACCTAACCCTTGCAGTGCGGGGGGTAGCAAGGGTTTATACAGTTTTGACCTGGAGTTCTTCTTTAAAGAACCTGCAACTACAGAAAAACTAGAGAAAAATGCCTGCCAATCTGCCAGAAATGTATTCCCAAGTATTGTTGTGGGCTGACAAACCCGAGTGTTGTCAACCCTGCCCAGTTTTCTTTTGCTAAACTATTCAACCACTCCCACTCTCTAATCTATATAGCAGGAGTAGGAAACCTAGGCTCTCTAGCTGTGGTGGAAATCCCAACACGCATTTGTCCCTGGTAGTCTTCTATGTGTCTTGCAAATCCTCATGTAGTTCACAACAGCTGGAGTGCCATAGTTGCTCAACCCTGCTCTACATGATGCTGCTCCCAACTGCACTATACAGTATAATACTTATTAAAACAAATCAAGTGACAGCCTTATTGGTTTTAAAAATGATTTAAGATATAGATCATCAAGCACCTTAATATGATACCACCTTGATAATAGACTTTTGACTTTTTTGGGAAAACAGAGCATTTCATCCTACATAATATTTTTAAAGGTTGAATAAATGAACACATCACTTTTAACCTCTGACAAACACTGTAGATATCACAATTAAAACACATTTTTGGGCCGGATTAATTATATTGCCAAAGTAGAGTACAGAATAATTGTAGCCCAGCAATATCTGGAGCTTACTGTTCAAACAGTATGAGAGAAGTAAGGGTTTAATTGAAATGTTAAAGACATCCACAATTATCTTTTTATGTGTGCGGAAAGCCTTTGGGAAATCTATATCAAGATATTGTCTTTGTTACAATATACTACAGCTGACATAGATCTCTGAATTATAGTTTCAATTGTCTGTATAATAAACTAATGTTATTTAATATAGATAGTTAAAATTGTTAAAAATACATTGGGGGGAATTTATGAACGTGTTTGGAACAAAAAATTTTGTTGCAAAGACCAAAATGTCATGATAACTAACCGCAAAGTTTTAGCTCTGTTGTGCATCTTTTTTTAAGTGTTTTTGCAACATATTCATGTTTGTGCCTCACTGAATATGTTTTATAACAATTTTGCACAATTTCTCAACTGTGCAGTAATTGCATCCAGTATTTACGACATTAAAAATCATCCAAACTGTCGCTCATTCTAGAAGTCCTCCTGAGCATGCCTTTAAGTATTGCAAGGATAACTCAGCTTCATACACTCAAGTTAGGTAAGGCCTTCAGGGCTATTCAGCTATCATCCAGGAGGTTCCCTGCAAGCTTGTGACAATTTAGAGACAGTTTAGAGACCGGGACAATTTTGAGACTATTGTCCTTATGAAGGCATTTAAGAATGAAACATAAACTGGGATAATACATCTGTCACTATATGCACTAGAAATCAGGGATGCAACAGATTAAAAGACGCTGATGATGCAACCAAGTTGATACATTCCCCCAATGTATTATTATATAAAAAATATACACCTAAATCGAAATAAAAACATTATAACTAGGGATGAGCTCGGGTTCAGGGCGAACCCAGTCTGAGCCTTAGCTACTCTTAATCCGTAAAAGGCATGGAGCCACCACCCACTCAATCAGTTACGGGCCAGGCATTCCCTGCCCTATAGCTGCACATAAATAAAGGGGCAGGATGCTTGTGCTGACATCAATGACCTTATACAGCCAAATGGCTATACTAGGTTAATGTAATTGACCAAATATAGCCATGCGGCCATATAAGGTCAATGAAGTCACAGCATCCTTCCTCTATTATTACATGTAGCTGCAGGTGGAGAATTCTCCTGCCACAGCTGACTGGGCAACAGTGGAAGGAACTTCCTTTTGGATTCTGAGCAGCTCATATTCAGAACAAACCAGGTCCGAACCTGAGCTCATCGCTAATTATAACTTTTTTAACAGTATAATAACTGTGGAGAAAAAAAGAATCTTGGAGTGTGGTGCCAACTGCAACCAACTAATTTCTAATCTGCTCCAAAGAAATGACCGCAAAAATGTTATATTGATTTATTGCCTTATATTATGTGAGCAGAATATTTTTTTAAATATTTAATTATTTAACTTTTTTATCATTAATATTATTATATGATAATCCCCCAAAATGTATGCTACACCCACATTTTTAAAAGTGTTGCCTGTCTGGTTCCAAGCTGATAAAAAGACATTTTAAAATGTTAGCAATTAATATGAGCCCAGATTTACATTTAAATACCAAACACCAGTACGAAATCATCACCATAACTACAACTACAATATAATGAGACTGCAACATACCTCTTGTTTTTTGAAATTCTGCACATACTCCTCAAACTGTTCATCTTTTGTTTCATCTGCTTTTCCAAGTTTCTGAAGCACCTGTAATGTACATAGTAAAAAAAGGTTTTAGGAACAAATGAATATGCATAGGATATAACTGCAGAATAATGCACTTTAATTCCAGTATGTGCTGTTAATAGAACTTTGCCATGTTATCCTTTCCCAGGAATTGGATATAATTTCTTTCCTATGTTATATATAGCCTTCATGAGCCCCTGTACGATGGTTAGGCAGGTTGCATGCTACTAATTTAGGTCAATATTAATTATGATGATTGTTATCGCTATTTTAATTTTTTCACACAGCACTAATTTCTTCTGTAGCCCTGCTCAGAGTGAGAAAGATATATTTAACAAGAAATGATATGTACTTCGGTTGAAGCAAAGGGGCTGATGCATTAAATATAGATAAAAGAAAGTAGAAACCAATTAGGCCTCATTTTTAATTTTAATGTAAAAATGTAAAGCAGTTCTCTAGACATTAAAATATAATGTGAAGCAAATGTCCAAAGTTTATGGTTGCAGCATTTTTTCATACAGACATCAGCTTTTTTTTCAACAGGAAACACTATCCACTAACTTGGAGTGGCAGCAGTTTTTCTTAGCTGACCAGTTATTTGAGCTGGCCAATTGTGTGCTCAACCTCCACATCCCGTAGCTCACCAGAGTGCACCTACATGACATAGAGTGCCCTACAGGCTCCTCTTCTCTGCACCACTCAAATCAAAGGATTAGGGCACCAAGAGATGACAAAATAGGCCTCAAATAGGTTGGGGGAGCTTTTCATAAAATTCAGACTTGGCTTTAGAGGAGCTTAAACAAGGACTCTGATTGGTTGCTCATTTTTTCCAGTTTTAATACACCAGATTCTAAGTACTGGTGAATATATTTGGAAAATAACCCGTGGAAAGGGCTGATGTTGTAAGAGCGGCTGCTATTTCCAAAAGAGATCTGTAGGACTATAGATGCAAATATCTTCTTGATTGTTATAAACCATACACACACTTTTCTCTGGTTTTAATCAGAGTTACTAATCCCTTCTGCCCTATCCCTGATAGACAGTCTGATATTGTTATACAAGAAAAAGTGTTACTGTCAATAACTAAATTAATAATGGACTGATGATGCCATCACTCTAAAGGGTAAGGTAAGTAAGTGTAAAATATGAAGGCTGCCATTGCTGAAAATTGTGATTTCCAGATTTTGATGCTGACCTTCTAGTTTTAGCACTTTTGGGCACTGTCCTGAAACAAGTATGCAGATAAATACATCAGACTTTTCTGATCTGTATACTTAGGATGTTGGCATCAATTGTTCATCAATAATATAACCTTTTCCTTCGGCACCCTTTGAGCTCCCAGATGGTGCATTTGCAGAACAGAATTTAACTAAATTAATAATTTCACTTGGTTAGAAGGTGGTGAGTCAGCTTAGTACACACATTAGTGTATTTAGAGGTCATGCTACCTCGAATGCCTGAAGGTCATTATGTCCTTTCTATACTTGTTCATTTTCATTTGTCACCAAAAACATTGTATCCTGAATATTTTAAAAAGCAAAAACATTACGATTGGAAATCTCCTATTGAAAGCAGCATAGTTGCTGTTTTATTGCAGAACTACCACTGCAAAATACAACACTCAAATCAAGAACCTGAAGAAGAAGATTAGCCAAGAGAAATTTGTGCTTCAGGGAGCCTTGTGTCGCCACTAACATCACCAGTTATTTTATGTCATGACACTAAATTGTAAGAAAAGTAAGTCCAACTGTGGCCAAAACTTTTTTCTGTTGTGGATAGAGCAGGGAAGGGTAAAAACGTTGGTTGTGGTTTTAATTAACTTCCTGTCAGAACAGGAAATAATGGGAAATCTCTCCACGAATACCAAAAAAATGTAGTGCATAAGGGGTTGAAATGACAATGTTTTAATTGCTGTATATGGCTTCCTATCATGGTGATAACCACACCCCTCATTTCTTATATAGGCGTTATAGGTACAGGAAACAAGGGACAGAAATAAAAAACAAATGCTGGAATTAGGCTTTTACATTTTGTTGTTAATTTTCCACAAGTGAGTGACTGCAAATGTGTTCTGTAGTTGCATTTACAAAACAAAAGCTGAAAGCGGGTTTTAAAAGCTATAACATTCATCAGGGAGCAATTATGCAGGTAATTAAACATAGGGTATGTCTATCCCGAGAATACACAAGAGCATACAATGCAGGATCTATTTCAGATCCCCCCGACAACTATAAAAACTCTTAACTATGGTAATCATTCTGTGGTTCGTTTTGAAATTGCCGCCGCTCACCTGAAGAAGGTCCCCCAACTTACTGGTTGGTAACTACATTGCCCCCCTCACCTCTCTTTTTTATTTCCAACTCTCAATCCATACCCCTCTGAACACTATTCACGTGTATCACTATTTCAACCAAAGCTTATTATATGTGTACCTAACTGCAAATACGTTGTTATTAGATTGAAGCTGCAATTTTGTCTGTAAGTTCTTTTGGAATTGACTATTTATGAAAACATGGTAAACATGCAGTGAGTTCAGCACTGCAGAAAGCAATTCATTTAAAAATCAGTTGTTTTCCCTTGTTCAGGACCTGCTGGAAGACTCTGACAGGTGGCGCCAAATGTAAACAGTTGGGCGGAGCTAGCGGTGATGTCACTGCTGGCCCCGCCAAATTGTTTATATTTTGCCGGCAGCTGTCAGATTCTTCATTCTGCGGTGGCAGTTCGTCGCGTGCGGTCGGGTCAGCGAGGGTCATTTTTTAATTTTATTTATTTTATTTGGCCTTCGGCAGCTTTGTGAATAACTCCCTTAATAAAAAACAAAACAAATGTTTTCAATATCCAGTTAATCCTAACCATGATGCATACACAAGGGAAAGATACTGTATGCAAAACTGCTAAATGTTTCCTTATAGCTAAAGTACATTAAAAGTCCAGTTGTCTTTGAAATCTCAGATATTCATTGGCAAAACTGAAAACGGATGTGAAATAATCAAGTGAGCATCTATGATATGACCCTTATGGTTATTTTATTTTCCATTTGGATAGTGATATAGCATTTTATATATATTAAATTAGATTTTGCCTATAGTATGACTTGTATATATAATTTGTTAAATTAAATTAGGCTTTAACTTACATTACCGCGATCTAAATTATGTGATGCATATGAAATGCTGCACAAATCTGAATAGGCTTCTGCAAGTATTGCTTGGCATAAATAAGATTGAAGAAAGAACATTTACTGTAAAAAAGGTGCTGGATTTTCTCTGATGGCTAAAATATTACATATTCTTATATAGCTGAAGGTATGCAAGTGCTTTGTATTTTCACTGCTTACTAAAAATAGAATAGAATTGATGTATAACTTACACTACTGAAGATTTTGCATTATAAATATTTTCCCAAAAAAACATATCAGGGGAGCATTGTTCCTGCCACTAACCTGCAATATAAGGGACAGTATATTACTCCTGTCTGCTGAACTCTACAGCAGAGAGGAGTACTATACATAATTACAAAATGTTGACTATTGCGCTGTATGTTATATACTATTAACTGCTGCACTCTGCATGCTGTGTTGCATCTTAAAGTGGGACTGTCTTATACAAAAGCCCCTTTAAATGGCACTTCTACATCGACTGGCCATAGTTTAAAGGCCAAATTGATTCTGACGAATTTGGACAACAAATATGCCAAGATTGTCAATTTTGAACCAACAGGATTTGCCACAAGACCAAGGTTACTGTGATACTGAACCTCATTCCTATTTCCCACTACAGTTTTCCTTTAAATTATATTTTCCTTTGCTGCAGGAACTAGATACAAGGACTGAGAGACATCACACAGCAATCAACCAGAGAACATCTAACAGTTTGCTATAATAATTCAAATTAAACCATGCCAAATACTGAATGGAACATCTGATGTTAAAGTGTATATACTACTCTGTTTTACTGCTAATTGGCAGCATTCAGAGGATATGTAGAAGAAAAGCAGTTCATTGAATGTGTTTTCTCACCAATTGTATAAGGCTAATATAAGGTGAAATATGGTGGATATCCTATCTGTTGATCTCCCTAAAAAGCTCAGCTAAGGAGTACATCTGTGAAAGCAGCAAATCAAAGTACAGTACAATGCACATACCAACCAAGCAGATGATATCCTATACAGGCTAGATGTCAGAAAATAAATTCTGATTTGCTGAACTTTGCATTGTTTTGTTGAATAACTTTTTAATTTGGAGATGAAGAAAATATCTAAGCTTAGATATTTTGCTATAGATCACACACAATTCAAAAGTAAGCTGTCTTATAGTATGGGTTACAGCTAATCAGACTTTAAAATATCCCTACGGGCTGTAGTTTTCCAACATCCATGTCCAGTATACTTGTAAAGATTGTGGAGGTAGGTGAAGAGTGTCATGCATAATAGGTCATGAAAACGTCAAGCAACTGGAGAACAATGATCACTTTATTAATGTATGACAAAAAAACCCATCCGATGCATTTCAGGGGATTTGGAATCCTTCTTCATCAGAACTTTGGAAGTGTTAGATCTTTTGGTTGTGGCCAACAGATCTAACACTACCAAAGACTTCAAGATGGGGGCGCTCCAATCCCCTGAAATGGGTTGGCTATGTTTTAAGGGGTTTAGGACTTTCTATTTACCCACCTACCTCCACAATCTTCACATGCTTGAAAGGACCCAAATCAAAGAACGTCTACAGACATACCCACCGAAAAGGTCTAGAGCTAGCCCTATAAATCTCATTTCTCATTATTAGTGTGCTAAATTATAAACACAATAAAAGATAGAATGAGAAAGCCCTAAAGGAGGGAAGGAAGCAGTAAAGCATAAAACTCCTCTCTGTAAAACGGTGCAGGCACCAAATGTGTTACTAATATATGGGCTGTATTTACCTTAATGACACTTGAGGGCCAATGGACTTTTTTTAATGTTATTTTACTATCTACCCCATCACAACAAACTTCATAATCAGAGTGAAGTGTTCATCTCCGTGG